TCTTCTGCAGCCAAGGCTTTCTGGTGTGTCTTGCACAACACTTTGGGAAAACCTGGCAGCTGCCTGCTTTGGCCTGCTGTTACAAAACTCCATAAGATCCAAAGCAATGGCAGAGAACTGCAGAATTCACATATGCCCATATCACTTCATGAAAAATATCATAATCCTTGCGAAACAAAGACTTAGTGTTCCCAAAGGGCTTATCCCCTCTGCACACAGTCTCAGAAGCCTGGATAGCTCAAAGGACAGAAACCAGGAATGAAATACCCCAGTGGTTCTAGCTTTACCCTTAAAGGAACACTCTTGACAGCCAAGCTGGAATACAAGTTACAAGTCTTTTATATTATGTTGTTAATAAATAAACCCAGAAAGGTGTATATTTTGACATTGTTACAGCTTCCTAGATCGTGTTTTGAAGGAAATTGGTAATGCTATCTGCTCACATAATATTATAGAGGAGGAAGGGCGTTTTGGATAGAGACAATTGCTCCTAGATGCATTAACAAAATGCGGTTCTTGTTTAAACATTTTTAGTGTGCTTGCTTACTTTGAGCTGAGTTGGGCTCATAATATTTAGACAGGAAAATCTGGTAAGTCAGCTTGTTTGTTCTCTGATCAGTTCAAGCTTGTGCTGAAGACAACACTCTGTTCTGAGTGGAAGCTATTCTGTATTTCAATAGACAATTAGATCTGTCTTTGTAAAATGAGATAGCGAAGCATACATTGCTTCAGACTGCGCAGGCATCATCCAGGGCAAATTCTTAACTAATGTGTTGCCTTTCTTCAATTTGACAGCCCCAGTTGTTCTTTCCCTCTTCTTACTGTTTGCCATCCTCTTAGCCCATTACATCACTACACTTTCTCAAAACAAGTTTCCCTGCCCTTCTCGTTTAGTTTGGTCTCCTCTGCCAATACTGCATCCCACAGTATTTATTCTATCCATATTTCTGTTATTCTGCCAGAATCTGTAGCGTGTGTCTAAAATGCCTGCTACAGCCAACTGTCTTTCTACAATGAAAACCTCTTCATAGTGTCTCCATTGTAAGCTCAAATAACAGTATCTTTTACTGTGTGCCTGTAAATTACCCTTGAGATAACACAGGAACTGCTTTCTATTGTCAAGACAATAGTCTCTCTTTTGCTAATAAAAGCCCTTTTCCCCTGTTGTTCTCTTTGACCTTGGTACAGCTCCCAATACTGAGCCACTCTATTCTTCACAACCATTTCCTCAGATACACAAGAGTTCCCTGTTCCATCTCTGATGGTTTTGCTCCTACCCATGTAATCGCATTTTGTTTTTCCCTTTAGGTTGTTGTGGTTATTCATCTCTTTCACTATATTGGTCTCTTCTGCAAGACAGAAGTTATTCTGCCTGGTCTGCTTCATTAATTTATTACTTTTAATAATACATGGCTATTATTGCAGCACTTAAGAGAACTACATATGGGACAGGACCTTCCTGTTGTGTTGTGAACAGAACTGAAAAGGCAGCTCCAGACCCAATTAGGATTAAGCACGTAACCAGGTCATCCAAAGAAAACCTATGTGAATTTAAAATGGACATGGAATTGGCCTTTGATAACACTAAACAATAAAACTTGAAAGACTTAAGCAAAGCCTATGTATTGGGACCTGGAAACTTCCAAACTGGAAAGATGTTCATGCGGTCCACAGCAACTGTCAACAGAGGCACAAGGGAGGTTAATTCTTTTGCATTTGCCAAAGATCACGTCTGGCTTTGTGCAAGCTGGTGGTTAGCTGCTTCTGAGTTAAGGAAAAAGGCAAACATTTTATTCTGAACGAAAGAACACAGGTTTGGAGCAAAGAGTTAAACCTGGGAGTTGTCTGCACACAGGTGTTTTATGGATTTGTGCTTCTGGCTGAGGCTGCACAGAGCTTCAGTGTAGAGGGACGGAAAAAAAAGTTTTCTTTCCGCAGTGTTAACAGTCATCTGTACTTTCAGCATCTCCATAATCCATTCTGACTAAACAGACTGGTGTCATCATCTCGTTTTTTTCAGGTTAACCTCCAGTTTGCTTGGGAGAAAAAGACGCCTCTGTGAAGTGCACGTGCTTCATCTTTCTACTGTTTGCTGAGGCTCTACCTTTCCGTCACATTCCCAGAATCATCCCAATTTCTGACACTAATTTTTCACTCCAGCACAAAGGGAGCCTCCCGGATGCGGCAGGACTCAGCTGTCTACCCTGGTCCCTTCACACTTTCCCCATCCTCAGCCCACCTTTCCACACTCTAGAAATACTCTATTTTTTTGTTCTTTCATCCTTCCGTTCTTTCTTGTTTTCAGGTCCTGTCCTTCCATTTCAGCTGGTCCCACTACGCTTCACACCCTCCCTGAACTCAGCTCTCGATTCTCCGCATCTCGCAGGGGGGAGAGGATACGGGTCCGGTAACAACAACGATTTCCGTCCCGAGGGAGCAGAGGTCCCCACCTCTCCCCTGTCGCCTCTTTCCCCACCTCTTCTCCGTCGGGGCGACCCCTCGACGAGGGGCTGAGAGGAGCCAGGCCACCTCCCGGCGCCGTCCGCCGTCACC